AAGTCAAAGTTACAGACATAAACCAGAGTGCAGCAAGCTGTAACTCTTCAAACATGTAACAGACCACAACCTGTAATGGATTATTCCATCTTGCAATGACTCAGGTGGACGGGGATGTTCTTACCTGTTTTGGGCTGCTGGGTTTTGTGTGTAACATCTTCATTGCTCTTGGTGTCCATGTCAAATAATGAACCTGCTTCCATAAAGCATTGGTGCTGTTCTTCATGTTATTTAGTTAGTACCTAAACTTTGTTACTCCAGGACTGCTCTAAGCAGATCCTTTAGGAATCCTGTTTGTTGAGGTTGTGTTTTAGCAACGGATGAATAAGTATCTGTACATAATCAAGCCATAAAACATATTTTGCGAACTTTTGAAAGCAGGTTTTTGTTTCATCTGGAAGCACATAATAGAAAGGTAGGAGGAGGCTGAAGCTGGGCCTCACGCTTCAGTGCCCGTCATCTCACAGTGTGTACCTTGGGGGTTGTAAATGTTAGTCCATAGCATTCAAAATAATGCTGCTGATGTATTTGGGCTTCTCACTGATCCGCTCGGGGTGAAACGTGTCGGGCTGGTCCAACTCCAGCTGTAACCCAGCAGTTCACCACAACAGACAATGCATCTTCTGAGTCACGGGTAGTTTATGCACGGTGACAGTTAACAAAAACACTCACTGATGAAGATTCAGTTGAGACTTCAAGTGTGCAGTGGCTGTGATCATTGATCATTTTTCATCTCCACCTTCCTACATATTGCTGCAGACATCACCAGGCTCTTTTGCACAAGTATAGAATTGAAATGCAAGTTTTCAACTATCTAGTGCTCGTGCAAAGAAGGGGCTGATCTGCTCTTTGAGTCCGTGGGGAATAAGATAAGATGCAATGGGCTTAAATAGCATTCCTTGGAAACATTTTCACAGTAGGGATATAGAGCATTGGAAGGCTGCCTGGGGTGGCTGTGGAGTCTCTGTCACTGGAAGTGTTTTAGAAGAGGGTAGAGATGCTTTTGTGAGGAGTGCATTGGTGCTATTGATCCTGTATTGGGGGCAAAAGGAGGAGATGCTTTTTGAAACCCTCTTTTGTATAATTTGGTTTCTTATGACCATAAATATATAAGAAACACTGTAAACTGCTCAGCATACCATTGAGGAGGGTGTAGATGTTTTTCACTTATTTTTAGCACTTGACCTTACAAGACTGACAAATAACTTTTTCCTTCTGACTTTTGTCCTCTGCTTGGCAAAGATTAGTTAAAAACACAGAGATGGAAAATATTTAAACTTTAAGCTAGGGTGAGCTTTACTTTTTGTTGTTTGTTTGTGTGCTGCTTTCATTTGTGATGTCAGCTCCAGTCAGGGAAAAAAGGTGTAACTAACCTGGCACTGCACAGTGTTAAAGAGCTTTCACACTGAAGCCCAAACAAACACTATCTGCTGCTCACTTCTTTTTGAATCAGTGATGCTTAAGAAGTTATAGGCACACCTGGAAGCTGTTTCCCCATCAGATAATAATGAATTCAGATACATCAGCTCCTTCTGAATTTGTCTTTTTCTAAACAGAAACAGACACCCAGAAATAGCCAAGCCACAACCAAACACATTCTGATCTGCTACTATGTGTTTAAGCTGTGTCAGAGTGGTGATTTACAAGGATTTCTAGCCCTCAGATCTGAATACAGAAAGGTATAAAATGAGTCCAAGGAAAATAAAGGTAGGAATGACCTCAGCCTGTGGAGACACCGTGTCTTGCTCAGCTCAAGGAAGCTCTGTAGGAACAAGCTACATTTATTTGTAGTTATTTTGCTCCTGTCAATGAATAGAAATGATCCCAGAAGCTGTTGCAGACTGAAGAGAAATGGCTTTGGGTTTCTAGAAGAATGCCAAGACATATTGATCACTGCCTTAGTATGCAGGCAACTTACTTGTTCAAATATTTAAAGTTGGTGTAATGCAGATTTAATATGCTGCGCTTCATTTCATTTAGAATAAGTGAGCAACAACAAGCACTGTTGTCTCACTGTGCTGTTCTACACTAATTGTTGCTGAGGGCAATGAAGGTCATTTCTCAGCATGGAACATTCCTGACTTTACTCTTCTAGGTACATACTCACTAAGTGCATCTTCTAAGTACATACTCACCGTTTTCCATTTGGGCCAGAACACCTCAGCTGACTGCAGAGTTACTTACAAGTAACACGTGCTCCTTGTGAGCCAGGTCAGTACAGTCTCCAGCCTTGCCAATACCTTCCTTCTTAGTGACTCTCTTGCAGAGCAGGATAGAGGTGGGAATGGCCTTGTAGGATGTCCACATTGTCCAAGTTCTCTTTTTCTCCTCCCTGTGAAGAGATCCAGGTTTGCTGCTGGTAGCCCTGAATATTCCAGATACTTTGGTGACTTGCAGCTTGTTCACACAAGGTGTTCTTCACAAGACAGGGAGTCTCTCTGTTCCTTTTGTCCTTTGCAGTGACTCCAGGAGCTTGGGAGATTTCTTCTTTATAACGTCAATTATCTGAGTTTCTTCAGCCCCTAGTAAAACCCAAGAAAATTATCTAACATCTCTATAATATGGTTTTGATGAATTAATTTGGATGGTAAATGATAGACATATTAGAAAATACAGTGAATTTTACATATGATCACCATGTTTAGTGTTATAAAAGGGCATGTTCTGGGCAGCTGAGAGTGTTCAGAAGAACGTGGAACTCTGTACAGAGGAAGCAGGACTTTTCGTGATGGTCTTCAAGAGATCTTCCTGGATCCCTTGCTAGATCCCTTCCTGGATCCCTTGCTAGATCTCTTCCTGGATCCCTTGCTGGCTGGGGTCATACTGCTTTACAAGCCAATGTCACACACTCTCAGAAATGACTTTAAAGGTTTTTTTCATGTGGCTTTGTTTGGTTTTATGTCCTGCTACCACTGAATAATACTTTGCATAGACAGCAGAAAGCATCGTTACTGCTCAGACCTATTTTATTTGCCTTGTACTGAATAGTTCCTTTTTCATTTCTTTTTGTAGTGCCAGGACATTGATTGTCTCATCATTCTACATGCACATTTATTTCTCCATACAAAGCAAATCTGATGACTTCACAAGTGACCCTTGTCCACTCTTCATTCCATGTGAGTTACGTCTCTTTCTTTCTGGAGTTTTATGACTTCTCCCCACTTGAAAAAAACAGATTTTTTTCTGAATAGTTGGCTAGAACCTGCCTTTATTAATGACCCATCAGGCTTCTGTCGAAGTAATGTGTTTTTCCCCTAAAACTCCCCCCTACCATAACAGCTCCTAGCAGGCTTCCTTGCTTGCCATCTAGCAGGGTCCTGGAGTGAGCAGCCTGCAGAGGCTGATCCTCTCACCTCCTGACAGCAGCATCCTCAGACATGAGCTGGACAGACAGCGACTAACAGCGTTCCAGGTGAGAGACTGTCTCTGTGGGATGTGTGATGGGGCATTTTCATCACTCCCCACTTGTTGCTATAAAATAAAACTGTAAATATTTCCCAGAACATCGCTGGGAAAACCAGCAGATTTTATCTTTAATAATCAGTTGCCATGGTTTGAATTTGGCCAGAAGCACCCAGAAATGCTAAAACCTGGGAAACTCCATGGTTTGGAGTTCCCACTGAGCCACTTCAGCTCACTACAAGTATCAAACCCTCAAAGCTGATTTACCTGTGGGTTGACAGCAGAAAGTCACTTGCTGCGTGTGACACGAGATAGCACATGTGCCACACAAGCAGAATCATACCAGTGCCACCAAGGCAACACGTGCAAATCAGCTTTATTTTCAGCATAAATTGGCTTGGTGCAAGAAATGTAAGACCTGTGAGCTGCAGCATTCCTGTAGTACAAACCTAATAACATTTATTTGCTTACTTTAGTGACCATCCACACCTCCAGTGCCTGCAGGGCTGCTCCCAGTTACCTTCAGCAGCCACAGGGATGGGAAGTTTTTCCTGAACATGGGAGGTCTGAGGTCAAACTGAGAAAACAAATCTGCATGTAAATAGCCATGATCCTGCTGCTGTAACGCTTGAGAGACTGAGCTACTGTTTCCTGGGGCTTTCCTGTGTCCCCAAGGGTGTTGCATGATCAACATACTGACAGGTCTCACAGTCAAGCAGTGGGAATGTGTGATCAGGAATTTCACTGCTTTTCAGACCAACCTTTTCTACAGGTCACAGTTTTAACGTGTGATTTCCTTGAGGTAGTAGCTTTAAGATTTTCTTTGGGCAGATTTTCTTTGGCTGCTGTAGGTGGATTTCTCAATCTGCTCTGTGTCCTTTGATGGAAAATGCTGGATTAAGACTGGTGAAAAATGCTGGATTGAGACTCCTTGCTTTACTGACATGAAACAGCAAAGTCTACCTTCCTTTCATACCATCCCTTCTGCATTGCATCCTTCCTTTAGGTGGGGGCAATAAGAACATCAGCCTTCAGGGCTAGTACATTTGCCCAGTCCCTCTCCAAAATAGGATGTGAGAGCACCTCTTTGGAGTTGGAAGGTGACTCAATAGTTCTACCCCAAGTGTGAGTGGTGAAACGGTCTTTTGGGAGTTAAAAGAGCCTTTTCTGGAGCTCTAGTGAAGTCCAGATGTCTCGTAGCTTTTGTGATCTTGCGAGCAGTTTTAGAAGGAAAGTCTGTGAGTGATACAGCTATGAATCATCTGTCTATCCTGTGTCCGTGAAGAAGAAATAAAAACCCCCATCCAAAAAGAATCCATTTAATTCTGCAATTTTCTGACCTATTTTGGTGCAAGCTGGGCTAAAAAAAAAACAACCCTCAAGCTCCTGTGCTGATGAGTTTCTCATATTGTTTACTCCTGTAACATTCCCTGTGCACTGCCAGCCAGGAATGACGTCCACCCCTCGTCCAGCATCACAGAATAAGAACTTCAGAGGAAGGAATGCAACTTCATAAATAGCAAACCACAGACACTAATGGGGAGCAGAGGCAAACCTGCAGGTTAAAATTCCTTGCAAGAGAAGTCCAGAGATCCACACTGCCTGGAGAATCAGAGATGATTTCAGCTCTAGCCTTCGTTTTCCTCCTCTGCCTCTCCTGCCCTTTTTCATCATGTCAGCAGAGAAGGGCTGGTAAGTCATTTCATGATCTATTTTCTGGACTCGTGTGTTTTCTAGACTCCTATGAAAAGTATGTTTTGCAGAAGGGAATGAGGAAGAAGGTAACATTCAACCGCATCCACTGAAGCCTAAAAACAATGTTTAGGGATTTTGTCGTTTCATATGAAACTTGAAGCTGAACTGTGTAAATCCTCAGTCTTGGATTTTTCCCCAGAGCAGTGAAGTTGCTTTTTAAGAAAAACATTTATTTAAGGGCAGCTGGAAATTTTGGTGTGTTTTGCAATGACCTAAAAAAGACACTTTCTATTAATCTGCGTTTTACAAGTGGTTTAAGTTAAAAATCAGATCACACAAAATGTCCTATAGCGGGATCCTTAGATATCCTCTCTGGTTGTGCACACAGAGCTCAGGGAAGCCCTGACTTCCAGGAATGTAGTTCATTACAACAGGGGAATGCTCAGCTCAAAGAGGATCTGTGAGATCTGGCAGACTCGGGCTGTGTACCGGGGATTCAGGTGTGTGCTTGTGGAGACAGAATGAGTCCATGGAGAAGGATGCATAGCAGTGAGAATGTCTGTAAGTGCCTAGATGTCCTTTGGGATTTGCTCCTGGGCAGTTGAATCACTATTGTGAATTTGGATATTAAAAAACTCCTAAAATTTTCTTTTAAATTACATCTTGCTACAAGGGATGGAAAATTCTGCCCAGGAATAACAGCAGCTGCCTGCAGGCTTCCTGCAGAGCTTATTCAAAACCTCTGGAGTTAGAAATCACCTGCAAGCTCCTCGTTTCCAACAAAATGAGAAACATCACTTGAATTCAGTTCTTCTGTCTTAGAATGTCACATTTGTGGTGCTTTTTATTTAGTTTCCCAACCAAAATGTACTGGAGGGGTTGCAAATACTCACAGAATCCTCTTGGTTCTTTGTGGGGTAGACCCGTGAGGCTTCCAGGCTTGTTTGTCACAGAGAACGCCCGAGTCGTTGTGCTAAGCACGGGCTCACACCCTGCCTGTGGCACTGGCAAACTCCTTGTGCCAAAGGAAGCAGCCCCCCAATCCAGCTGATTTTCCCCTGAACACGCAGTGGAAGATGCTGCTGTTTGTCTCTTCTTAACTGTTTGCTTACGCTGTAGGCAAGGTGTGACTTCTGTTAAAGGATTGATTCGTCCAGAAAAGCCAAATTGAGCTTGTGCTTTCTCATAAGAGACAGGGAATAGCAGAGTTGAGCTTTGTGTCCACTTGGTTTCAAATGGTTCAAGTTTTCTTAAAACTGATATAGTTCAGCAATGAGCTGCTTCCATTCATTCCTCTTGAGCAAAGCTGGAGTAAGGACTAGATACTGAGCATGTCTCAAAGGACTGGGCAAGTCTAGAACCTAGCAGATGGGAGAGAAAAGTCATGTTAATCTGCCCTAAATGAGCTTGTAAAATGCTTTCTATCCTGTTCAGCATAGCTTAAACAGGATTTTGCAGTGTTGGATGAGCAGATGGATCCTCCATGTCCCAGAATCTCTACTGAGCAATTCGAAACTGCCGCTACCCAAAAAGAACCTGTCTCCAGCAAGGAAAAGTCTGTCCCTTGAGAACAGGAGAGGCAAGGGCTGATGTGCTGGTTTTCCACGTTCAGTGCTTGGCAGCACATTTGGATAGACTCAGCAAAGGGACTTACTTCAGTGGTGCCCTTCATAGCAGCTTCCACAGCACTGAATTATTAATCTGCTGCTTTTGGCAGCAAAGCTTTCCTATGTGTGAACTGCAGAGCCCGTGCCAGATAAGCAGCTACCACAACTGCCAGGCTGCCAGGCCAAGCTGTTTGCTGAGGGGTAGCTGTTACCTACCTGCCAGGCATGGCTGATTATCACTGTCTGCCCCATCTAGAGCAAACCCTACCTGTGTGCAGCATTGTTAATTCCAACAAGCTTCTAGTTAGGAACTGCCAGAGACTGGTGTGGAGGAGTCTGGATCTCCTCATATCTTAATAATATCTCGTATCTTAAGCTGAAGTTAATGATACTGTTGGTTTGGGCTGCTAATGGCTCTTCTGTGTTTTTCCCAACCACTTTGGTTTTCTTAGGAGGTGAAGTTGGGCCAGAAATGCTGGAAGAGATGAGAGAAACTAACCGTGTGCTAATGGAAGTTCGGGACTTGCTGAAACAGCAGGTAGGTGAGAAAGGGACCTGGTTCCTTGTATTCAGAGAGCTCTCTGAATCCTCTGCCTCACGTGCTGAGTTCTGCAGCTGGGGGGGCTGCTTCTTGTGTGAAGTGAAATGAGCAACAGAATTATTGCGTTGCAAATCAGAATCAAGGGGTGGTCTCACAGTCAGATCTGTAACTCTGAGAGAAAGTGGATTTCTGTGAATTCCAAATTCTGCTGCTTAGGACCCTGTCTGCTGAGAACAGAAAGAACTCCAGAAGGAAGGCGTGCACACACAGTGGGTATACATTTAACTGGAAAAACAAGTCACTTTTTCCTTGGTTTTGTGGGCTCGTGAAATCAGTTAGAGAGTCCAAACTTGGAAGATGGAAGAGACCTTTCAGCCATCTATTAGAGTCCTGGAAAGGGAAGTCATATGGAGTCTAAACAAGCTGTGTATTCACTCT